GTAGGGCCGGATTTGTGTGCCCAATGTTGATGAACTCCGAGAGTTGATTTTAGCAGAGGCCCATAGTTCACGGTATTCCATCCATTCGGGTGCCGCGAAGATGTATCAGGACTTGAGGCAGCACTATTGGTGGAGGCGGATGAAGAAAGATATAGTTGGGTATGTGTCTAGATACCTCAACTGCCAGCAGGTGAAGTGTGAGTACCAGCGACCGGGTGGGTTGCTTCAGCAGATAGAGATTCCGGAGTGGAAATGGGAGCGCATCACCATGGACTTTGTATCTGGACTCCCACGGACCCTTAAGAAGTTTGATGCCATTTGGGTTATTGTGGATCGGCTGACCAAGTCCGCTCATTTTATTCCTGTGTGTACCACCTATTCATCGGAGCGGTTGGCGGAGATATATCCGGGAGATCGTCCGTCTACATGGTATTCCAGTCTCTATTATTTCAAACACAAGTACTCAGTTTACATTGCGGTTCTGGAGAGCCGTGCAGCAGGAGCTAGGTACTCGGGTGGAGTTGAGCACGGCATTTCACCCCGTGACGGACGGACAGACCGAGCGCACTATTCAGATTCCTGAGGATATGCTTCGTGCGTGTGTGATTGAGTTTTGAGGGTCTTGGGATCAGTTCTTGCCATTGGCAGAGTTTGCTTACAACAACAGCTATCAGTCCAACATCAGATAGCGCCGTATGAGGTTTTATATGGTAGGAGGTATAGATCTCCAGTTGGATGGTTTGAGCCGGGGGAGGCTCGGTTGTTAGGTACGGATTTGCTTCAGGAGACCTTGGACAAGGTCAAGATCATCCAGGAGAGGCTTCGTTCAGATCAGTCTAGGCAGAAGAGTTATGCAGATCGCAAGGTTCGAGATGTAGCATTTATGGTAGGTGAGCGATTATTGCTTCGAGTATCGCCTATGAAAGGTGTGATGAGATTTGGGAAGAAGGGTAAGCTTAGCCCTAGGTTCATTGGTCCGTTTGAGATTCTTGATCGAGTGGGACAGGTGGTTTATAGACTTGCATTGCCGCCTAGCATATCAGCCGTGCATCCAGTTTTTCATGTATCCATGCTCTGGAGGTATCACGGCGATCAAGCCCACGTGTTAGATTTCAGCACTGTCCAGTTGGACAAGGACTTGTCTTATGAGGAGGAGCCGGTAGCTATTCTAGACCGCCTGGTTCTTCAATTGAGATCGAAGAGTTTCCCTTCTGTTCGTGTCCAGTGGAGAGGCAGCCTCCTGAGGCATCGACCTAGGAATCCAAGTCTGATATGCGGAGCCGTTACCCTCATCTCTTTCCCGACTCAGGTACTTCTTTCTTTTGTCTGTTCGAGGATGAACGGTTGTTTTAGTGGTGGAGGATGTGACGACCCAAAGGGGGTCATCACTTGTTTTCTTACCCATTTCGTACTTCTCAGGCCTTGAAAACCTCATCTAGGGTCGCCTCGATTTGCGTGCGCAGTCCCGGCGCGTAGCCGGAAAGCTTAAATATGAATTCTGTGAGAAAAATGCTAAATTTTTATATTAAATTGACTAAGCTTGACATAGGTCAACATTTTGGGTAAACGGACCCGGCCCCGTGATTTGACGGTCCCGGAGGGTCCGTAGGAAAATATGGGACTTAGGCGCATGCTCGGAATCAAATGCCGAGGTCCCAAGTCCGAGAAATGAATTTTTGTGTGAAATTGTTTTTGGAAATAATTAATGAAATTGGAAACGAAATTTGATTAGAAGACTATGGTATCGGGACCGTATTGTGGTTCCGGCGCCCGGTACAAGTCTTATATATGATTTAAGCACATTCTGTAAAGTTTGGCTAAGAACGGGCGTCGTTTGACGTGTCTCGGACTTAAAATGCGAATTTGATGTTCTATGAAAAATTTGGAAGAAATCCTGAGCTTTAAGGTTTGATTTGATGTATATGATGTTATTTTGGCGATTTGATCGCACGGATAAGTTCGTAGGATATTTTTGAGGCTATGTGTATGTTTGGTTTGGAGCCCTGAGGGCTCGGGTGAGTTTCGAGTAGGTTCCGGGATGCCTTAGGCTTAAAATACCAGATGTTGCGGGTTCAGGAAAATATTGCAGACTCTTAACCCTCCAGCGCTGTCCGTGAGAAATCGCGTGCGGCCGCGGAGGGGCCAGCGCGGCCGTGGTCGCCTTTGCGCGGTCCGCGGTTGGTGTTGTGCGGCCGTAGTCGTCTTTGCGCGGTCCGCGCAGGGAACTTCAGAGATCACCAGGTCTTCAAGTAGGTCAGCGCGGTCGCGGTCCTTTTTGTGCGGTCCGCGCAGGGGACTTCCGTAGGGTATAAATAAACGGGAATTTCAGTCATTTTTCACTTTTTAGAAACCCAAAACATAAGAGGCGATTTCCCAACGATTCTTCTTCTTCAATACGATTGGTAAGTGACTTCTAACTCATTTTCTTCACTCCTTAACATCTTTTAACATAATTTCAACTTCAAATCACAGATTTTAATGGGGAAATTTGGGTATGTTGGGTAAAACCTAGGTTTTGCTAAAATTGGGGATTTGGACCTCAATTTGAGGTCCGATTTCAAAACAAATTACATATTTGGGTTCGTGGGGGAATGGGTAACCGGGTTTTGATTCGAACCTCGGGTTTTGACCACGTTGGCCTGAGGGGCAGTTTGGTCATTTTACCTAAATTCGCGTCTTAGCTTTAAATTAAAAAGTGGAATCAGTTGCTTGAGATGTTATTTACGAGATGTAATTGAAATGAATAGATTTGGGCCATTTGGAGTCGGATACTCGTGGCAAAGGTGTGGTTTCGAGTTGATTTTGGAGCCGCTTTGAGGTAAGTGGCCTTTCTAACCTTGTGTGAGGGACTTTTCCCCTTAGGATATGATATTTTGTAATTGAATGCCTGGTGTGTGAGGTGACGAGCGCGTACTTGAGCTAATTGATGAAAATCCGGTTTTACTTTAAATATCTAGACTGAGTTTCTTTCTTACCTGCTTTATTCTACTTGTAATTATAGCCCGTGTTAGATTAGAAAAGCATGCTTAGCTGACCTAAATTGCCTATTTTCTCAAGTTGCCTTGATTGTACTTCGTGAAGCCTGTTAGGCTAGAACTACTTGTTGCCTTGTATTTTTTTTTTCTCTCGTTCTGAATATCTCTTTGTTGTGGCTGCGTATTTACATTGGGACTACGGATGTGGGATTCCGTTAGCTCCCCCTTGTTTGTTTACTTTGGGACTGCGGGTTAGATTCCCGATAGATCCCCCTGCACATTTACTTTGGGACTGCGGGTTAGATTCCCGATAGATCCCCATGCACATTTACTTTGGGACTGCAGGTTAGATTCCCGATAGATCCCCCTGCACATTGATAGTTGGACTACAGGACGGTTTCCCGGGAGATCCTTCGGATATACTCATATGATGGACTATGGGACGGTATCCTGGGAGCTCCTTGGACAGTTGATGAAAAGGACTATAGGACGGTATCCTGGTAGATCCTCGTTGTTGGTATAGATATCGAGTTGTTTTATTCTGTGTTATCTTATTCTCTGAATGTTAATTGTTGTCTTGTATAACCTTTCTTATTTCATAGTTGTACCCATTATTTCTGTTTATTTCATACTATTGCAAGACTTATATTATTATTATTATTCTCAGTAGGGATCTGACCTTCCTCGTCACTACCCAATCGAGGTTAGGCTTGGCACTTACTGAGTACCGTTGTGGTGTACTCATTCCTCTTCTGTGCATGTTTTTCATGTGCAGCTCCAGGTACCTCCACCCAGGCGCACTATCCTTGAGGCAAGGAGAGCTACGGAGACTTCGAGGTACATCTGCAGCGTCCGCAGACCGAAGAGTCTCCTTCTTTATTCTATCTGTAGCATTTAGCCTTCTTTCGTACTTTTGCTTTAGACATTCTGGAGTTAGAGCCACATATTACCTTCCGTTAGCTTGTGTTCCCGTGAGTTTCCGGGTTTTTGGGTGATATTGTAGACATCCGCATTTTGAATTGTATATACCGAGCGGCATTTATATATAGTTTTCTTTTAGTTGTTCAGTTTTAGTTAATTATTCCGCAAGCTATGTTGTTTTTCCGCGTTCTTAGGCTTACCTAGTTATAGGAACTAGGTGCCATCACGACATGTTCAGGGAGGGCGAACTGGGGTCGTGACATAAATGAATAATAATTAATAGAACACATTAAATGTAAGCGATCAATAATAGAGTCAAGAGAGAATGTATTTAAGTTAGAGAGAAGAGAATGTTCTTGCATTCAATATTGTATGTTGTATATTTCCCCCGTTATAAATTGACAAGGGTCCCCTTTATATATGAGGGGGGATCCCAATATAGTACAACTGCATTTATTACAAAGAAATATAGATGATATAACTATTTGCTAGTTTGGTGCAGACTAGCGCTTCTCTTGCAGGTTTTGTTAGCTTTGATCATATGCCTTGTGAACGTCACACTTTTTTGTGACAATCATCGATTTGCACTGTCTCGCGGTCAAGTGTTAGGAACCCTCAGGGTCGAACCCCGAGTCGAATCTTCAAGCCTTCTGGGGGCGGTCTTTACGAGGTGCCTTAACGATCACAGAATGGGACCCTCTGATTTTTACTGTGTACAATGGTTAACCTTAGTTTATTAATAAAGTGTAATGGTAAACCATAGTTAGTGAATTAGTTAATAGTTAGTTAAGAAAGTTAGTTTGAGTTTGTTATAAATGGCGGTCATTTTTACAGCTAGCCTCAAACTTCTTTTTTACAAATGAAGATAGCCTTTCTCTAATTTCCTCTATTCTAGATTATTCTTCTTCCTAGCTTAGATCTCTCTCCCATGTAATCTAACAAGGTATTAGAGCCAGCGGTTGAGATCTAAGTGAATTGCAAGCAAAATCAAGTCTTCTTTGTTACTTCAATTTTACAATTGAAAGCTGAATTGAGCTAGAGTAACGTTTGGTTAAATATATGGTTTGCTAATTTCTTATTTTGAAGCTAATTTTTCAGTCAACAATGGCGATTGAAGATGAACAAATTGGTGCAGCGACTACTACTGACAATTTCACGGCCGGAACTGCCACTTTTCCTACCATTGATCACAATCATCCCTTGTACCTGCAACCAACAGACACACCAGGTAGCCCTTTGATCTCTCTTCAACTAACCGGATCAGACAATTATGCCTTGCGGAGTCGTGCAATGAGAATATGTTTGCTAGGTAAAAGTAAACTAGGTTTTGTCGATGGGAGATTTCCTAAATCTAAATTTGAACCTAAGCTTCGTGATTTGTGGGAGAAAGTCAATGTTATAATTCTCTCATGGATAATGAATGTTGTTAGACCAAGATTGTTGAGTAGTGTGTTATATGCATCTAGTGCTCATAGAGTTTGGGAAGATTTGAAGGAGAGGTTTGATAAAGTAAATGGCTCAAGAATACTCTATTTGCATAGAGAAGTTCATACCCTAACCCAAGGAATTATGACTGTGACTGGCTATTTTTCAACGATAGAGAGCTATGGGATGAGTTTAATGCTCTCTTGCCTTGTCCTGGTTGTCCTTGTCCTGAATCTAAATAGTATGCTCAACATTTTATATATCAAAGACTTCCTCAATTCCTCACTGGGTTGAATGAATCCTATTCTCAGTCTAGGAGCCAAATTATGATGATGTCTCCCCTACCAAGTATAAACAAGGCCTACTCTTTGTTAGTTGATCATCAAAGTCAAAGGAACCTCACAAGCATAACACAAGTTGCTCAGGTCACTGAACCCTTGGAGAATGCTGCCCTGCATAGCAGTAGGAATGTGAACAATGCTGGAAACTATAGGCCCAAAAGGAATCATGTTCAGTGCGAATATTGTCATTACAAGGGTCATACAAAGGACAATTGTTTAAAATTGACTGGGTATCCCACTGATTTCAAAGCCAAAAGGAAAGGAGTTAGTAAAGTACAACATGTCAATTGTGCAGGGAATGCAGAAGGAGAAATACATAAACGGCCCCTTGAAGTTGTCCTCAACGATCAAACAAATACCTCAACTGACCGCTTTACCATTGAGACACTTCTAGTGGCTATTAAGTGTATCAAATAAACACCCGAGTGCATGAGACCATATACGTGAGTTACACTTGCTAATGAGGTATCAAACGAATCAATCAAAAAATGACACGTGTAATTTACGAAAGAAAAACTTTACACATGTAATTAACAACAAAAAGACATTGGAAGGCTTCTTCCTTAGTTTCAATTAAACAAGTGCTCTGCCCCCACCCCCACCAACTTACTCTTCTTTATTCCTTTCACTTATGTCTTCCCAGAACCAGTACCCTTAATCCATTATCTTCCTTCTATCTTCCCAAATAACAGAACCCTCAACTTAATCATCATAAAACCATAACTCAAATGAGCAGTGGAATCAACAGGCGAAGATGGTGGGAGCAGATCAGCCGATTAATGACTTGAAGATGGAACAAATGGATATGGGTTTCATGAATCAAACGGGTCGGGTCGAGTTTAGGTTACAACAGAATAGGGTAAACAACAGTGAGATCGCTCCACTGGATTGGCAAACTGGAGGTGGCGGTGGAGATGGGGAGCATGGGTTGTATGATTTAACGGGAACCGTTGATCATTCTTACTAGAGTCAAACACAGTGGGGTGAAAATGATCACTCCCTTAATTTTCTACCTTGATCTTTGTCTCCTTCTCCAACCTTAGAAAATATCGGACCAAAATAAACAAAGTGAAGTTGGAATATTGAGAAAAATAATTGACCAACGAAGGCTCCGACCAAACTTCCGGCCATTGTTCTGGTGGTAGCTTAAAGAGGTAGAGGAGGATAATATTATTGCCAAGAGATTATCTAGTGAGAAAAATAATTTAATGTGGGACCCACTTCCAAAATTTAATTTAATTTAATTCTAAAATAAGAAAGAAAAAGTCTGATAAAACCTCGCGCGCCCAAATGCAATTAAAATACACGTAACTTTCCATGTCAATGTGAGGCGTCTTCTAGATATACTTAATAGCCACTAGATGTTTCTCTATGGTAAAGCGATCAGTTGTGGTGTTTGTTTGATCGTTTAGGACAACTTCAAGGGGTCGTTTATGTATTTCACCAATGTAGAAGCTTCGGGTGCAGAGAGATGTAATATGGTTGCTAGTATGACTCGTACTGCTACTGAATCATCTAGTTCAGGTGCTACATAGCAAATGAATCAACCTGCTCCTTTTCAGCGGATGTCACATCCAGCTCCTATTTTCACTCCTGAGCAATACCAGCAAATTGTTCAACTGCTCTCTAGAGGAAGTTCAGAAGGATCAGACTTATCAAACAAAGTTGTTGCAGCAGGTGTTCTAAATCATGTGAATGCTTTTATGTTTCAATCTGTCAATAGTAAATGGATAGTTGAAACTGGGCTTCAAATCACATGACTTCAAGTTTAGAGATGTTGCATTCTCGTAGACCTCTTCCAAGTATAGAAGCAAACAAAGTACATTTGCCTAATAGAACTGTTATTTCAGTATCTCACACAAGCTACACATCTATATTATGTAATCAAGAGATTTCTAATATTTTGTACATTCCTGACTTTAAGTTCAACTTATTGTCAGTCTCAAAGCTTACTAAGGAACTAAAGTGTATGGTTGGATTCTTTCGTGATTTTTGTATTTTTTTCAGGACCTCTTCATTGGTCATGTGAAGGGGATTGGTAGAGAAGAACATGGTATGTACATTCTACATGGAGGTATTCCAAAACAAGATCTATATCAGGCAACAAATAAGTGTACTAACACAATAAACTCTATCTATGTCTCTTCCTGTACTTCTATTTCTAGTATTTTGTGCCATAGAAGGTTAGGACATGCCCCTTTAGATATAATAAAGAAAGTATAAGAGCTTAGCAAACTCACAACAGTAGTACAACTTCAAAAACAGCATTAGAACTTATTCACTGTGATATATGGGGGGGGGGGCTACAGACTACCCAGCATGATGGTAAGAGATATTTTGTTACCCTAGTTGATGATTACACAAGGTATACTTGGATTTTTCTATTACAATCTAAGTCAGAAGCTATTGTTGTTCTAAGAAGCTTTCTTGGTCAAGTAAAAAATGTTTTCTCTGCTACTGTAAAGTTTCTAAGAACTGATAATGGAAGTGAGTTTTTAGCATTGAATTTAAGACTGTATTGTCTAATATTTGTATTTTCCATCAAATTACATGTGTCTATACACCCCATCGGAATGTGGTAGCAGGAAAAAAACACAGAACCATCTTGGAAGTAGCTAGATCCCTCAGATTTCAAGTGTTGTGCCTATGAGATTTTGGGGAGAATGTGTTACTACTGCAGTATATTTACTCAATAGACTTCCTTCTAAAGTTTATGGATACAAATAATCATTTGAGATATTATATTTGCACCCTCCTTCATTGTCTCATCTCAAAGTATTTGGTTGTTTGTGCTATGCAACTTGTCCCCAAGGGTAGGATAAGTTCTCACCCAGAGCAGTACCTGCTGTATTTATAGGATATTCTTCCACTCAAAAGGGTTATTTGATGTATACTCTGCACCCAAAAACATTCAGCGTCAACAGGAATGTTGTGTTTTAGGAGAATATCTTTCCTTTTAAGCATGCCACAACTACTGGCCGTCCTATATTTCCTATCCTAGACTTGCTCTATTCTGCTCTGAGCAATACTCCTTCTTCTTCTTCTGCACCACCAGCAACAAAACTGTCTACTGACTCCAGTTCAGATCAGATGCCTTTAGATCTGTCTCAGAGAGTCCCTCATTCCACAACTAGCTTAGAAGAAGTTGCATCTATGATTCCTTCTGTTGTTGATCGCTTGCCTAATGCCCCTTAAACTGCACTTGTACCTTATCCACAAGTTGTTCAGCCTCCTACCGAACAAAGAAGGTCTTCTAGACCAAGCAAGCCACCTCTTTTGCTGCAAGACTATGTCGCTACTTCCAAAAGCTCTAACTGTGCTTACCCTATATTTTCCTATGTGGATTACTCTATTATTTCTCCATCATACAAACAGGTTCTTGCAGCTTATTCAGCTCTCTCAGAACCAACTTCTTTCAAAGAATTGCATCTGATCCTCAGTGGATAGTAGCAATGAAGTTGGAGATTGCAGCACTTGAAGACAACCACACTTGGAGTGTTGTTGACTTGCCACCAGGGAAGACTCCCATTGGATGCATGTGGGTTTACAGAATCAAATACAAAGCCTTTGGTGAAGTGGAAAGGTTAAAAAGCTAGGCTAGTGGCCAAAGGCTACATCCAGAAGGAAGGATTGGACTATGGAGAAACATTCTGTCCTGTGGCCAAAATAGTAATTATTAGATCTGTTATTGATTTAGCTGCTTCAAGATAGTGGGTGATCTTTCAAATGGATGTCCACAATGCCTTTATAAATGGAGATCTCACTGAGGAAGTCTACATGGAAGTGCCTGAGAGGTTTGCCAGACGAGGGGAGTCTAAGAAGAAGGTATACAAACTACATAAGTCTCTTCATGGACTTAAGCAGGCACCTAGGCAGTCGAATATGAAGTTGAAAGAAGCTCTACTCAACATGGGCTTTCAACAAAGTCATTATAATTATTCCTTGTTCACAAAGAAAGATGAAGATGATATAGTTGTTATATAGGTCTATGTTTATGATCTTCTCATTACTGGGAACAATCAGAAATTATTATGCAATACTAGATCAGATCTTATGAAGAAATTCAAAATGAAGGATCTAGGTGAGCTCAAATTCTTCTTAGGAATTGAGTTTGAAAGGCTGTTGTATCTTACTATGACAAGACCTAATATTGCTTTTGTAGATCAAGTTCCCAGTCAGTATATGCATTGTCCTAAGAGGTCTAACATGGAAACAACACTGAGATTTGTAAGGTACATAAAAGAAGCTCCTGGCTTGGGCCTTTTCTTGCCTGCAGACTCTTCAGATCAACTAAGTGACTTTTGTGATTCAGACTGGGGCCATGTATATAAACTAGAAGGTCAGTTACAGGGTACTTGGTAAAGTTTGGAAGTCCACTAAATCCTGGAAATCTAAGAAGCAGAGCACTATGTCTAGGAGCTCTACTAAGCCGAGTTTAGAAGTATGGCTTCATATGCAGCAGAAGTTACCTGGCTGGTACGACTATTCAGTGAACTTGGTGTCAAGATTGAGCTTCCTATGACTTTGGTGTGTGACAGTAAAGCTGCAATCCAAATTGCAGCAAATCCAATATTCCATGAAAGGACAAAACCCATCGATATAGACTACCACTTAGTGAGGGAAAAGCTAAGTCAAGGTCTGTTGAAGACTGAGTATGTCAACACTGAGAATCAACTAGCAGATTTACTTACAAAAGGCTTGGGAAGAGCTCAACATGTGCATTTTCTGAACAAGCTGGGGTTGAAGAATGTGTATCAACCATCAGCTTGAAGGGGAGTGTTAATTAGCATGGTTAACCTTAGTTTATTTATAAACTGTAATGCTTAACCACATTTAGTGAATTAGTTAATAGTTAGTTAAGAAAGTTAGTTTGAGTTTGTTATAAGTGGTGGTCGTTTGTACAGTTAGCCTCAAGCTTCTTTTTCAGAAATGAAGATAGCCTTTCTCTGATTTCCTCTCTTCTAGATTCTTCTGCTTCCTAGCTCAGATCTCTCTCCGATATCAGCTAACAATAATCAAAAGCTATGTTAGTAAAATAATCTGCTAATTCATTGCCTTTTTCTCATTACATGAGCAAACTTTGCTAACCCCCGTCTTCTCAAATGCTTGATCCCATGCATTTCCATCACTAAACACCAAGGAACCTCCCATAAACCATCCAACAACTTCTTCATTTTGAAAGAATCTGTTTTAACTATTAACGGAAAATATTGATTCTCCACACAGTATTTCAGACCTTCTTTAATAGCTACCGCTTCAGCAATCTTATGAGTAGTCACCCCTAGTCTTCTTGCTTTAGCATACGAGAGATCACCATTGAACTTTCTCACACAACATGCAGCAGAGTTGGAACCTGGATTTCCCTTTGAAGCACCATCAATGTCACACTTATACAAACCCTCTTGAGGATATTTCCA